CGTCACAAACACAAACCAGGTAAAACAACTTTCCTGGAACATGTTCACCTCAGTGAGTTCTGTCCCGGCAAGAGCAAGGGGTTCAGACACCAAGACCCACGCAGGTCATGTGTGAGATGGAAAAAGCGTGCTTTAAGTTCGCTTGGGTTCCCGGTTCTTTGAGTTAATACTTCTGCATTCTTGGGAAAATTATTAAACCTCTTAGATTCTTCTCCTTTCATATTTAAAATAGGAACACTAATTATTGGAATCTTACAGGTTGTTATGAGGAACAGATAAAATCATTCAAGGATGACATAAGCCAGGTGCCCGGCATCTTGTCTGCCACACAAGGACACTAGTTTCCTTCCAGTCCCACTCCTGCCTCCTTGAACTCCTGGTCATCATGAACTCGTGGCAATGGCTGGTGGTGAAAAGCTTACCATTTACTCCACTTTTCCACATTAACAAAGTAAAGAAAAACATGGTTTAGTCATTAAACATGGTTTCTAGCTAAGTTGATTTTAACTATCTTTTATGTAGTTATTAAAGACACATTGCCCTAAATGCAGTGTTTGTCTTTGAGAAAGCAAGCTATAATTCCAATTTTGCTAGCAAAACAAATAAAAGTGTGCATGTTTACACTTGTGGGGTCCGAGGGGAGGAAACCAGAATGAAATACACCAAAATATTAATGGTACATGGCTTCGGGTTGTGGGAGTCTAAGAGATGCTGTTCCTCACATTTTTGAGGATTTTCCAAAATGTCTACAACAAACAGGTATTATTTTCAGGATAAGAAAAATAAGTCACACTTATTTTCTAAAATAACAAAAAGACTGTAATAACATACACTCATAAAGGGATTCTAAAATTGTATATCCTTGAAATCCCCTTGAAATTAATGAGGAAGGCAGGGCCATGTTGGACTATAACAAACCCTCTCAACACGATAAATCTAATTCACGCAGTCAGCTCTTCTTCCATCTTCAAAACAAACTACTGTTTCTTCATTTTGGCACCAGATGTAAGTACTGGCACTTAAGAGCCACGTTGTATTAAAAAAATGTGTGTCTATTTAAGCTCAGAAGCCCACGTACTGCAGCAAGATGCTCACGCCACACAGGCAAGTTGGGTCAGAGCAGATGCATGACTCAAGCTGCATGTTTAACGAGGACGTGGTAACTGGGGTAGAATGGGCCCCAAGTATTTACATAATCAAGTCTTTCCCTCGTCTTTCTGCTAAGTGTGTGTAGCTGAATCCGCACACGTTAATTAATATAAGTACAGTGGGACTCCTCTGTGAACGTACCTTTTCGTTTTTCAAAGACAGAAGAGACATGGTGGCCCGCTGGTGACACAGGCGGTCCACAGGCTGACACTTTGTTTGGGGAAGCTGGTTCTGTTGTCAAAATCCTGCAGTTCTCCATTACCGACTGGTAAGCAGCCCCTGTCTGAGGACCACAGCCTACACCCCAGAGCACCTCACATCTCGTGGCTAACGGGGCACGAGCACACCCCACCCTGCACCGTGGCTGGCAGGCATCCGCCTGATCGCCACTACTTCAACCACCACCCATCTCTATCTGTACCTCTCGAGTCGTTCCTGGGCGTTGCTGGTCTCAGCTACCATAGCTATCTCGAGATTTCCAGTTTACATTTCCAAAGACAGCTAAATTTACAGAGCATCCTTGGTGTGTGTGTGTGTGTGTGTGTGTGTGTGTGTATACATGTAAGACTTTGAGGTATCAGAGATTCTCTTCCCCCTCCAGACCAGTCCCAAAACTCCTTCATCCTCTCACTGCCTGACAGATCTGCTAGTCTCTCTAAAGCATATCATCTTCTCCATCCCCCACAAAAAAAATTATTTCCTGACACTCATGAGAACAGAGTATTCACTGCAAGTCGTCATGGCGGGGTATTGGGAAAAGTTTTCAATTAGCAATAATCGCGCCTCAGATAAACCTCATTGGCTACAATACTGCCACTGCGCAAAGCTAGAGAACAGAGTATTCATAAGTAAAGGTATGGCACTTTCAAAACACATCTAATAAACTAAAAAATGTTACCGATGACACAAAATGTCCATGTTTAGAGTATCAGAATGGCTTATTATGAAATAAATTTATTTTCATCTATAAGGAATGAAATATAATTAAGTAGCCAAACAAAAGTTCAGGAGAAAAGCTTAACTAGATAACAAACAAACAAACAAAAAACAAAAGAAATGGTATCACTAGTTTTTTGTTTATTTAACTCATTTGTAGAGACAGGATCTCACTATGTGCCAGGCTGGTCTTAAACTCCTGGTCTCAAGCAATCCTCCCACTTAAGTCTCCCAAAGAGCTGGGATTACAGGCATGAGCCACTGTGCCCGGCTTATAATTTGTTTTTAAAATAAACAAAATCACACTTTAAAAAAAACCTTTAGAGCAATAAGTGATTTTAACAAGTCAGAGAATAGGAAACTCCACAACTATTTGAGATGACTCCCCTAGGAAGTCAATTATCACCAGCACACATGGTGGTTATGATGGCAAGCTGGTGATCCCGGGTTTGTATTACTGCTTCCCTTAGGATGAGTTTTATTTGTAAATATTTCTCACTCTTTGTAGAACAATCCCCCAAAGCTAAAATGTTTGCAAGAGCTAAAATTTCTTAGCTATCCAAGTATAAATGCAACTCACTCATTATACAATTTTCAGAATCTTATAAAACAGCTCAAGATGTATTTATTTTATGCCACATCATAAAATAGAGAAGAATGTCCACACCTGCATAGGTCCAGGAATGCAAGACAGAACTCTCTCTATGTTTTCCGAGGTTACTTCAACATCATTCACAGCAACAAGGATGTCACCTAAAAGCAAATAACAAGAAAACACAGTTGTGTGAATATCCAAACACCAGAGTGATCTGGAATTGGAACATGATAAAGCATCTGTTCAGATCTCCACAAAGTCTAGTGAAAAATGTGCCACAGCCACTCGGGGACTTGTCCAGGGCTGCACAGCTCACAAGTGGCAGAGCCATCTCCCAACTTGACTCTTCCTCTTCCATAATCCTGCCCTTCCGTAAGTCTGTGCTGTAACTCAATACAACCCGTGAATATTTAGACAGAAGAATATTCCCATTCTTGATACAACGGGAAGAATTATGAAACCCAAAGGACACACGGAGAATTTGTAGCATTAGAAAAACTGAATCTAACCACTTAGACCCACAGTGAAAAAAAATTCAGCTGCAATTTTAATTAAATCCATGAGGCGTGCTGTCATTCAGTAGGCTGTGGCATCCACTGCTGTGACTGGTCTGTGTCTGGACTCAGTTCTTGTCCTCAAAGGTCCCAAACTATATCAAAATCCACAGCATATTTTGGTAAAAATCCCCTTTTCCATGATGGCTTTTTAAAAAAATGTGTGTTTTCCAAATTTAGTAATAAAATAAAGGTCAGATAAATGAAAATTTACCTTCAGGACATAATTAAAGGTAATCTCAAAGTACCAGTGAGCTACATTAACAGGAACAGAGGTGCACCAACATTATTTTTCTCATCATTTCTAAATATACCAAAAGGAAACTGATAATTCATATTCATCCATGCATTCAACAAATATTTATTGAGCACCTACTGCTATGTCAGAGGCTGTCATAAGCACTGCAGATTGAGAATCAAACACAACAGACAAGATCTCTACTCTCATGGAGCTGAATATTCTCTAAGGAAGACGGAGGCTAAGTGCATGTACAGCCTGAGCATGCCAAATCCAAAAGTCCCAAGTGCTCCGAAACCCAAAACTGCTCGAGCGGCAACCTAACACTCAAAGGAAATGCTTGCTGGAGGGTTCTGGATTTTCTGTTTGGGATGCCCAAAAGGTAAGTATAATAAAAAATTCCAAAATTCAAAAAGATACAGAATCTGAGACATGCTGGTCCGGGGCATTTTGGATAAGGGATTCTCAGTCTGCCACAGACTCATGGTGTGGGCAAGTGCCCAACAGTCTCTCCTGTTTCTGTTCATCTTGCAGAGGCTCTGAGTGGCCTCGTTCTAGACGGTCTTCTCAAGGATGCTGGCAAAACCAACAGCCTTGCACGACAGAGGCGGTGTCTACCTCCGGAGCACAGGTCAGGTTTGTTCGCTGTAGGGTATATAATAAGGTCGGTGTTGTGCTCACCACCTGATAGTAAAGAGTTGTTCTTCCTAAGAGATCAGCCTTCCGAAGCTTGGAGTTCCCCTTCTTTAACCCACCCACGAGGGGGCATCACTGGCCCTCCTGTGGGCTGAGGAACGCATGGGACTGCTGACACTTCCCTGCTGGCCCTCCCTCCTCCCTTCCTCTCCACGACACTCTGGGGTACCGGGAAAGGAGCAAATGGCATGGGGAGCAGGAGGAGTCTCCAAGGCCACCCCGGATGGTGATGACAAGCCGCCCCGGTCCAGATGCTCAAGAGATGCGCTCCGGCGAGAATCCTGCAAGCAAGGGCCCTGGTCATCAGCTGCTCAACCATGGCAGCCAGGGCAGTGCAGGAACGCATCTCAAAAGGAAGCCCTTGCAGACTAAAACAAGTGCCCAACATCAGTTCACTTGGGTGAAAAAAAAATCATGCCCCTCTAATTCCTCTCAAATAAGAGATTAAACAAGAGTACTATATCAAATTTGTGACTGCAATTTTTTTATAAAAGGAATCATGAACATAGACTGTCCTGATGGTGTGCTCTGTTGCTCACAGTTTACGTTATCCTCAGGGCATGGAAACAGTGGAACCATTTGGAATCGGCTAAACTCCATTGGATGATCTCTCAAATGACTTTTTCCTCCAAACCCCAATGACTACGTTTCTGTAGCTGATGGCTCTAGGTAGTACCATCTGAAAGTATCAAGTCTAAAAAACCTCTAAAAGTAGGAGGCATGTATCATCATAAAAATAGACGAAAATCAATTTTAAAAGCAAATGTGGTTTAGTAGAAAACCTTCCTATTCTACAAAGAAGTGTTATGTCCACTTCTCATTTGCTCAGATATTTGTTTACCTCCAGTTTTTCCGAGCCTTCAATGAAGTGACAGAGGTGGCCAGTTTCCTGGACATCCCGCCACTGCAGCGGGCAGCCTGCACTCCAGAAAGCTCTTTCTCAGCAAGCGCACGCAAGTCATTAGCACGCTCTGTTCCATTTCTGAGGCTGCCAGGAAAGATGGGAAATGAAGTGTATGGATTGGTTTGCATTGTTAAATAAGATTAACAATTACCGATGGGTAGAAATAAGAGGAAAATTAAGAGTGTATTAAGAGACACATTCACGAGTCAAATAAAATAGGAAGAAGTGAGATGAGTGTACCACAGTGCTCAAGTCAATTCCTCAATGTGAAGCTCCTTATTTGAGAACGCCCACCAATCCCTCAGTATGTACTCAGCATCAAGCAACAAATGTGTACTGAAAAGCTACAAAAGACACCAGGGGCCATGAAAATGTACATAAGAAAGCTTGCTTACTGCTCTATTTATACTGTATACAAAATGAATATACAACTAAAAATATCTGAAACTCAATTATTACACATAAATGTAAGAAAAATCAACGATACTTATCAAAATGTGGTTGCCTTTAGGTATATGGTTTTTTTCTTTTTTGTTTAACTGCGATTTCTAGACTGTCTACAATAGACATATATTATTACTATTGCTAGAGAAAAAAATCAAAACTCGTATTTTAACCAACCCTTCCCCCTACTGTGATGAGAATAATGGCCCTCAAAGATATGCATGGCCCAGTCCCTGAAATCTGTGAACAGGCTACCTTACACAGCAAAAGGGACTTTGCAGATGCATTTAAGAGAGTGGGAGACTCTTCTGGCATACCTATGTGATCCTAATGATTATAAGGTTCTTTTTTTTTTCTTTGAGTTGGGATCTCACTCTGTCACCCAGGCTGGAGAGCAGTGGCATGCTCACAACCACCCCAGCATAAACCCACTAGGCCCTGGTGATTCTTCCACCTTAGCCTTCCAAGGAGTCACAACTACAGGTGTGTGCTACCACTCCTGGCTAATTTTTTGATTTATTATAGAGACGAGGTCTTGCCAAGTAGCCTGGGCGGGTCTCGAACCCGCAGGCTCAGGCTATCCACTCACCTCAGCCTCCCAAAGTGCTGGGATGACAGGCTGAGCCACCGAGCCCGGCCCATAAGGTTCTTTCAGGAAAGAGGCAGAAGCGTCAGTCAGAGAGGGAGACTTGGAGATGCTGTGCTGAATTTGAAGATGGAGGAAGGGACCACAAGCCAGAGGGTACAGGTGTCCTCTGACAGTTGGCCGAGGAAAGAGAATCCCCCGGAGCCCCCGAGAGGAATGCAGCCTTGGGGACACGCTGTTTTCAGTGCAGGCGGACCCATTTTGGACTTGCAAGTTACATTATTGCAAGATGATAAACCTGTCTTGTTTCACATCACTAAGTTTGTGGTAATTTGTCACAGCAGCAGTAGAAAATGAATGCACTCACCTAATAACACAAAGCAATCTTTGCTAAGCACGAACAAGGGACCACAAATGCATGCTAAAGAACAGAGATGGATCTACAAGGGGCACATGGAAATCTGTGGGGGAAGATAAATTAGTCTTGTCAGAGGGAGAATTCATGCATGGAGGGAGTGGGAAAGATGGTAGGATGAAACCAGGTTGCCAATTTAAATCGATCAACTTAAATTAAGTCAAATTTGATTTCAGGGGAAACATCATCTGGTTTTGAAACACAGTTACTAGTAGAGCCATTTTATAGTTTCAAAGCCAATGTCTGCTGCCAAAGCATTCACAGATGATTGAGAAAACCCACCACGATTTTTTTTGAGCTTCAATCTCCGTCCCTCAACTACAGTATGATGGAACTAATAAATCACATAGACTTGAGGTCTCTCTCAACTCGCCATTCTAGAAGTCCCTGAATAACTCAGGGTAGCTGAGACATTACCACTGTCATTCAGAACATTTGATAAGATGATCACTTTTCATGATGAGAGTGGATAAGAAACAATTGCGAGATTTTTTAAATTTCCCATTAAATTAGAAAATAGTAGGCTGGGCACGGTGGCTCATACCTATAATCCCAGCACTTTGAGAGGATTGCTTGAAGACAGGAGTTTGAGACCAGCCTGGGCAACATAGCAAGACCTCATCTTTACAAAACAAATAAAAAATCAGTCAGGTGAGGTGGCATGTACCTGTAGTCCCAGCTACTTGGGAGGCTGAAGCAGAAGGATCGCCTGAGCCCAGGAGGTCGAGGCTGTGGTGAGCTGTGATTGTGCAACTGCACGCTAGCCTGGGCAACAGAATGAGACTCCGACTCAAAAAAAATAGAAAAGAAAAGAAAGAAAAAGAAAACAAAAGAAGAAAGAAAAGGAAAAAATAGTATTAAAAATTGTTGATGACCCTAGCAATATGGCTATGATTTTAACAAATAATTTTTTTCTTTACCTATGTTCACACAAATGAGGTATAAAGGATTTTTATCCTTTAAATATCTCAAGTAGTAAACATTTTACATTGATAGACAGTTTTCAGAACTGTATTTTAATAGTAGAATAACAGCATAAATTTATTAAATTATAATTTAAATAACTATACCCTTGTGTTTTTATGCTTTTAACTTAAAAATTATTATTAAAAATGTTTTTACATACATACTTTTTCCTTTTTCTAATGTGAGTCAGAAAACATTTTCTGTGAAGGGCCAGATAGTAAATATTTTAGGCTCTGTGGGCCAGATGGTCTTTGTCACAACTCCTCAACTCTGCTGTTGTAGCTTGCAAGCAGCCATAGACAATAAGCAAATGAATGTGGCTGTGTTCCAACAAAAATTTATTTATGGACACGGG